ATTAAGATAATTAACTCTATAAATTAATAAAGCATTTTGGCTTTAATCTCCTCGCCTTAATTTACTAACAAGACTTAATTGAAAACTCGATGTTGTGTTATGGCCTTCTTGCAGGCTCGGAGGGGCAAAGGAGTGCCTCAGTCCATTGTGTATATTATTGCGTATTATTTATTACATAATTCTCTAAAGGCACTACGGGCTCACCATAGCCCGTGCTACTTTGAACTTTGTTCCAGATAGTGAATCTTTTAACAACAACATTACATAATTATATTATTATGTAATGTTGGGGAAGGGGTCAGGATAAGGATTTGGGACGGGACGGGGGTAAAGAATGGTGGCCCAACCATCTGGACGGTTGGGGATTGAACGCCGACCAGCATGAGGTGAAACCGGCGCTCTACCGTCCAGCCCCAGGTGGTTGGGATAGTGGTTGACAAGACAAAGCTTTATTTACGATGCTAAACAGGGTAATTGACCCGCCTTTGTAAATGATCGCGGGTCACTTTATAAACAACAGGTTCAGAAACTGAACACCAACAATATCATTTTACTATGCTAGTCTTAATAAACTAGTTACGCCGTTTAATACATAAATCAACAGTTTTTATAGCACATACTGAGCTCAGAAACTTAACTAAACGAACATTTGTTCATTTAATTAAGTTGGAGCCGAGATATGCCATCAATGTACTTTGTAAACATACATCAATAGTCGTATGAAGCTGCTCACTAAAGTGAATTGGCTTTTAACTTTTAATAATGATACTTGTCTACCTTAAACGGCGTCTACAGTACGCACAGCGCTTAAGTGAACCCTTGTTTATATATCCTTAGGCAATTTTAAAGTTTCAACTTATTTTAAAGTTTGTTCACACGTCTTAGAAAAAAACTGTAACAGCATTGAGAAATAGATTGATTTCCCCTAGTTGGTCCCGAGAGACTCATTTTCTGTGAGTCGTTTTCATAATATTTTATTGGTAAACTTCTCTAATTCATATATAAATTTACCTAACTTTACCTGAGGGTCATATTAACACTCTAGTGGCTTCAACGAGGATAGTAATAATAGTATATTTTGTCGGGGGATAAGCAGCTAGTATATACATATATATAAGTGCATAGGCCTTCAACTCCTCCCCCAAGGCGGAACTACTGACGCTGACTACTGAACTACTGACTCTCCAGGATGTATCCTCACAATAAGCCGACTCCTGGGTACCTATTTACTGCTAGGTGAACAGGTGTATTAGGTGATAAAAAACGCGCCAAGCCATTTCTGTCTCCCGGTTGTCGGGGACAGGAAGCCTGTGCTCACCTTCATTAAGGTCCCTCCCTCTAGGGCCAACTTCTGACCTCTCCTAGGATACAACCCCCTAAAATATTACCTAAACTCTCGGGAACTTTTTTAGCTGCTAGGTGCACAGAAGCATCTGGTAATAGGTAACTGGCCCAAGCGTTATTGTCCAGCCCAGGGGAGTAAATTCGGGTTATCTCAGTTATGAGCTGGACAAGAAGCCTGATATTTAGCTTATCAAGGTCCTCTGGGTCAATGGTTCTCAACCTGTGGTTAATTACCTTCAAGTGGGTAATTTTAGCTCTTTATTTTTTTATTTTTGGAGGAATGGGAGAGGGTAAAACAACTTTAATATTCCATAGCTAAATTTTGAGTTTAGAATTAATAATCGTTATCGGTTAACGGCTGTCACCGTTTTCTTTCATACTCGTACAATCTCGGTGTCGAGGAATGTAAGCGATCCACACGGTGGTCGTGGCGCTCAGTGTCAACAAATTGTTCTTTTTCGGTATGTGTATCCTGATTTCTGCGGTGATTCTGGTTGAATGTGTTGTGGTGGTTGTGGTTGTAGTAGGAGTGGTGGTTGTGGCTGGCGTGTTAGCTGTGCTTGCCCGTCAGTGGCTACAGAGAGGTGAGATTTAGCTCTTGGGAGAATTAGCTCTCCTACTGTCGCCCTCTTGTACCTGTCTCGTTATAAATTAATTTATCTAGACGTCTTAGACGCTCGATATCTTTGTGGCATCTTGCCTTAAAGCTGGAGGTGGCTTCCACAAGTGCCCCTTTCAGTGCATTCAACTTTCTGACCACCTGTTGTGTTCTGTACGAGTCTTTCTTTACATATCTCCCACACACATATCCCTTGTAAACAAATGTTTTTACCTTTGTAATGAATGTGAGTGGGTCGTCACCTCTCTGTTGGAAAAAAAAAACTTGGGTTGAGGCTAGGGAGAGGCTGCGTTGACCTGCTGGTTTTAAACAGCCGTTTAGATAGCCCCGTCCTAACTCTAGGCTGTTTAAAGCAGCGGCCGTCCTCACCAGACACATTTATTTTATTTTAACATACTGTGTATTAAAAATTGGTTTGTTCTCATATATAAATGAATCTTATTATACATAAAAATTATATGTATAGTTAAGCGTAGGTTAGGTTAGGTGTTTAGGTTCTGTTGGCGATTATTTGTATTTGAAGTACGTGGGTGAAGCATTTATAAGCTGTGGTAGGTGTTGCTGTGGTAAGTGTTGGTTGTGGTAAGTGTTGGCTGTGGTAAGTGTTGGTTGTGGTAAGTGTTGGCTGTGGTAGGTGTTGGCTGTGATAGGCACCAAAACAAACCATTCAGCAACTAGAGAGATGCCTCACTCACTGTCCTTTCCTGCAGGAATCTGACTCTTGACGACTCTGGAGGGTGACCTGTTAACCCTCCACTGAGGACAAACTCCAGCGCCTCGCCTCCACCCCTCACCAGGAGACCTCCCGACGGCTGGTGAGTTACCAGCTAGTTGCATGCAGTATTCATTAACTTTCATGTGAGTTGTGCATATTATATATGTAGAATATGCACACAGGTGTGTGACAAATTCTGTAGTGTTGGCTGCTTGTTAGAACTAGTCTAACAAACTATGTTTACCAACACTGCCACCATTGAGGAGGATTAAAAAAACATGGAAACATCACAACTTTATTGTTTTAAAACAATGGATGTAACAAGATTATCCCTGTGTGGTGTTGGACCATGTTATATAGAGGAGATATATAACTTTAGTCCTAAGTTAAATATATACCTTGACAGTATTCAAGCATTTACGTACCCACCTACGAAACCTGTTTATCTTTTTGTCAGTCACAGTGGCTTAGTCTTTATTAAACAGTTTACGACCTTGGAGACTTGGCAACCCAAGGATGTTATTGTTTCAGACCTCATAGTGTTTCAGACCTCGTAGTGTTTCAGACCTCGTAGTGCTTCAGACCTCGTAGTGCTTTCAGACCTCGTAACCCTGTTTAATCAATAGACTAAATCACCATGAGGAAAGATGTACAGGTTTCTAATACACTATTAGATTTCATACATTACTATGTATAATATATACATTTTCAAGGATATGTATAAAGTATGTATAACACATGGCACGTGAGTAACTGCTTGATTGATGTGTTGACTGATGCGCTAATTGACGAGTTGATTAAATGGTTGATGTTACTGATTGATGCTGATTAATGCGTTGATGTACGCTCTGATTGAAGCGTTGACTGTTGACTCTGAGATTGGCGTAGTGTTGATTGGCACGCGGGTTGATGCTCTGGTTAATGCTGTTTGACGTACTGATTGACGCACTGAGTGCCAATGTGATTGGTGTGCTGATTGACGTACTGATTAATGTGCTAATTGATGCGCTAATTTGTCTTACTAATTAACGCATTGATTAATACATTGACGTACAAAAGAGCCACTGTGGATCAGTTATCGCGCACACACACACACACACACACACACACACACACACACACACACACACACACACACACACACACACACACTATGAAAGTAAACCCATTGTCCTCATTCCAAATGTTTCTAAATCAAATAAAAAAGTTTGGTGACGTGAGGCTATCTTCACCCTTTCATGAGGTTTAGAGGTAGTAGTAGTGGTAGTGGTGGTAGAGGTGGTGGTAGTAGTGGTGCTCATGGTGGTAGTGGTGGTGGTGGTGGTGCTGTGGACCACCCAGCCCGGGACTGTGGGGGGAAGAGAGAGGGAGATAAAAGGTATCATTAAACATAGACCAATCATCATGCGCAATTAAGTCATTACAAGAGCAACTAACTGACTGATACCAAAGATTATGAGTTAATTCACCTCTCAAGTGCTGGGAGATGTTTTAAACAATCAGTTGTCGTGCTGACACGTGAAGACAAGTCGTGTCGACACTTTTAACAACTACATCAACACCAAACAATGGGTACGAATCAGTTTAGATTCAGGAAAAGACCTGGGTAAATACAGGTTTGGTAACAGGGTTGTTGATTTGTTTGGGGGGGGAACAGATTACCGGGATAACATGTTATATAGATGCGAGATCACTTGTTTGTTTCAAGCGTCGGTCAGACATGGATGTGAATGAGTTTGGGTGGATATAAATAGGAGCTGCATCGTATGGGTCAATAGTTTCTGTATTGCTGTGTTCCTAAATGAGTTCTTAGTTGAGAGTGTTGCAAAATGAAAAAAAAAACTGTAAGCGGGATGACCCCATGTGACCAGGTCATTCACTGAATAAACAGTGACGGGGTTAAGGTCATCTGTAACCTGTTCGAGACTTGAGGTGGCTCGAAGCTGGGGGTTCGAGACCCGTTTCGTTCACTCTCAGCGCGTAATGTTTAAAACTCTTTAGTCAACCTCATCAGATCATCCAAATCATCCTAGACCTGACTATACAAACCTAACAGATGGGACAGATGTGTTTAATGCTTACCTGTATGTTCAATGCTTGCCTGTATGTTTAATGCTTACCTCTATGACTAATGCTTACCTGTGTGTTTAATGCTTACCTGTGTGTTTAATGCTTACCTGTGTGTTTAATGCTTACCTGTATGTTTAATGCTTACCTGTATGTTCAATGCTTACCTGTATGTTTAATGCTTACCTCTATGATTAATGCTTACCTGTGTGTTTAATGCTCACATGTGTGTTTAATGCTTACCTGTGTGCTCAAGAGGAAGCATCGATAACTGTTAACGGCTGGATCCTAACAGCTGGTCCTGTGAAAGAGAGCACAAGTACTTAGAAGATCACTACATGTCTATGTACGACTGACAGATATCTGTGTTCTAGTTTAGCATTGTACAAGTGCTTTAAGCTCCTATGCTCTAGTGCTCAATGACTTGGTGTATGTGCTACAGCGGCTCACTCTCCCTCTCTATGTAGCACAGATGAAAATGTATATTTACATTATCATTGTGTAGATGTATAAACATTGTGTAGATGTATAAACATTGTGTAGATGTATAAACATTGTGTAGATGTATAAACATTGTGTAGATGTATAAACATTGTGTAGATGTATAAACATTGTGTAGATGTATAAACATTGTGTAGATGTATAAACATTGTGTAGATGTATAAACATTGTGTAGATGTATAAACATTGTGTAGATGTATAAACATTGTGTAGATGTATAAACATTGTGTAGATGTATAAACATTGTGTAGATGTATAACCACGTCTGTGGCAGAACGGGAAATGATATATATAATATAAATTAAGTATACATATATACATCATTCATGGCCAATGCGTCGTTCAGCCTTCAGCTAGAAGAAGGGAATTTGTATCTGAAATAGGAGAATGTATGCATATATTCTCTCTCTCTCTCTCTCTCTCTCTCTCTCTCTCTCTCTCTCTCTCTCTCTCTCTCTCTCTCTCTCTCTCTCTCTCTCTCTCTCTCTCTCTCTCTCTCTCTCTGATATAAAGAGAGAGGAATGTAGAATCATTTGGTCGTGTACCATCGTGTGTTGGCCTGGAGGTCCGTCCACTGCCTCCATCAATCAGACAAGGCACACTATCAGTCTTCAAGACAAACTGTGCCATTGTCAGGGCAGTGATGATAGTGCGGTCAGTGGCTGCTGTCTGCTCTGTGTAGCGGGTCTTCGGGGGATCAAGTCCATGTGGGAAAGGTAGGGGCTGGGGCGTGTTTGTGGGGGGGGGGGGTTGATGAACGCCCCCGTAGAATATCACTGCCCTGGGGCCTTGTGGAACAGAATATCACTGTCCTGGGCCTTGTGGAACAGAATATCACTGTCCTGGGCCTTGTGGAACAGAATATCACTGTCCTGGGCCTTGTGGAACAGAATATCACTGCCCTGGGGCCTTGTGGAACAGAATATCACTGCCCTGGGGCCTTGTGGAACAGAATATCACTGCCCTGGGGCCTTGTGGAACAGAATATCACTGCCCTGGGGCCTTGTGGAACAGAATATCACTGCCCTGGGGCCTTGTGGAACAGAATATCACTGCCCTGGGCCATTGTGGAACAGAATAACACTGCCCTGGGGCCTTGTGGAACAGAATATCACTGCCCTGGGGCCTTGTGGAACAGAATATCACTGCCCTGGGGCCTTGTGGAACAGAATATCACTGCCCTGGGCCTTGTGGAACAGAATATCACTGCCCTGGGCCTTGTGGAACAGAATATCACTGCCCTGGGGCCTTGTGGAACAGAATATCACTGTCCTGGGCCTTGTGGAACAGAATATCACTGCCCTGGGGCCTTGTGGAACAGAATATCACTGCCCTGGGCCTTGTGGAACAGAATATCACTGTCCTGGGCCTTGTGGAACAGAATATCACTGCCCTGGGCCTTGTGGAACAAAATGTCATAGCCCCTGGGGCCTTGTGGAACAAAATGTCATAGCCCCTGGGGCCTTGTGGAACAAAATGTCATAGCCCCTGGGGCCTTGTGGAACAAAATATCATAGCCCCTGGGGCCTTGTGGAACAAAATGTCATAGCCCCTGGGGCCTTGTGGAACAAAATATCATAGCCCCTGGGGCCTTGTGGAACAAAATGTCATAGCCCCTGGGGCCTTGTGGAACAAAATGTCATAGCCCCTGGGGCCTTGTGGAACAAAATGTCATAGCCCCTGGGGCCTTGTGGAACAAAATGTCATAGCCCCTGGGGCCTTGTGGAACAAAATGTCATAGCCCCTGGGGCCTTGTGGAACAAAATGTCATAGCCCCTGGGGCCTTGTGGAACAAAATGTCATAGCCCCTGGGGCCTTGTGGAACAAAATGTCATAGCCCCTGGGGCCTTGTGGAACAAAATGTCATAGCCCCTGGGGCCTTGTTGACACGTACAAACTACTTCCCTCCTCCAAGATTCCTCCATCACTGTGACTTTCTGTTTTATCTCTGTTAGGTATTCTCTACCCTGTTTTATATTCTGCCAGTCACTCCAGCCTGCTCCATGGTGGATACATTAGTCTCCAGTGGGGGGGGGGACAATGTCAAAGACTTTCTACCTGTCGGAAAATAGCCAGTATCTGATCCATACTTTATTTATCTTTGATTTTTTTGCCTCTTTGATTTCTCCTTGTTTTTCACTAATGTATATATTGTTTTATTCTGTATCTGTGGATGGCTGCTCATTAGTGGTCGTACTCGGCAGTTTAATGCCTCTTTTGACTAATGCAATGCCTCCCGGCCTATTTTCCTATCATATCTGCTTTTAAAGTTATGAATGAAGTTAGTGTGTACTCACCTATTTGTATTCACCTATTTGTGCTTGCGGGGGTTGAGCTTTGTCTCTTTGGTCCCGCCTCTCAATCGTCAATCAACTGGTGTTCAGGTTCCTGAGCCTACTGGGCTCTATCATATCTACATTTGAAACTGTGTATGGAGTCTGCCTCCACCACATCACTTCCTAATGCATTCCATCCGTTAACTAACGTGTGTGTGTGTGTGTGTGCATATGTACTCACCTAGTTGTACTCACCTATTTGTGCTTGCGGGGGTTGAGCTTTGACTCTTTGGTCCCGCCTCTCAACTGTCAATCAACTCGTTGATTGATACAACTGGTGTGTGTGTGTGTATTTAGGGACTCGAACCCAAGTTGTTTAAGGAATGGAGACGAAGGTGGTGAAAGAACTTTGAGGACTTAGTGAAGCAAACTTAGTTTTGGCCTCAACCTTAAAAGTTCCTTTAAGGAACTGCTGTGTCAAAGTTACCAAGTTGTGTTCTTGTTTGTGTCAAAGTCTTGTTTGTGTCAAAGTCTTGTTTGTGTCAAAGTCTTGTTTGTGTCAAAGTCTTGTTAGTGTCAAAGTACAAGATGTGTCCTTAGAACACAGCTTGTAACCTTGAAAATGACAAGAGCACATCTCTTATCTTTGTCACTAACAAGAAAATAATTTAAACTAAAGTAAACAAGAAAATAGTAAAACTGTCACACACAATAAACAGGTAATAAACGCCAAAAATGGTTAAGAAACACAAAGGTAGTTAAGAAACACAAGCGTAGTTAAGAAAGACAAGGGTAGTTAAGAAAGACAAGAGCAATTAAGGAACACAAGGGTAGTTAAGAAGCACAAGAGCAATTAAGAAACACCTGCATCAATAAACACAACATAGGTTACCTGACAGGTGTGGAGGGAAGGTGTGGGGTGGCCACACGACTCGTTGTGTACTTCGGCTACGACCCCATCAGCATGGCCTCCCCTTCAGCAGCCAGGATGAGAGCGAAGGGGTCGGCCTCGGGCAGCGCTGGGATGTCGTCGAAGGCGTGGAGGTTGTCCTCGAAAACACAGCAAGAGTCGTCGGAGAGAATGTCGCTGAGGTCGCTGTCGGTGCTGAAGGAACGGCTGACGGGCGAGAAGGTGAAAGAGGTCAGGACTTCTTGACCTCTTGAAGGAGGAAGATGTGAGGTGATGTGACTCGTCTCAGGCCTGTAGAGTTGGGTGATGTCCACCCCGGATATTGACGTCAGCTGGGAGTCATTCAACGTCACGTCATGGATATGTAGGTCATCGAAGATGTCTCCTGGATGTCCGTCCTGCAGGATACGCGAGAGAGTCCTGATGTAGCTCACTGCTAGCCTCAGTGTCGTGATCTTGGTCATCGCTGCCGCCGTACGACCGCTGCAGATTTCCGGCAGGATGCCTCGAAGAGTCTCAAAGGCGTCATTAATCTCTTTCATGCGATGTCTCTCCCGGGCGTTGGCGGTCTTCCTGCGGTACTTCGACAGCGGCGGAGGCTTCGACTTGGAAGACCTTGCGCTCCGCTGAGGTAAGCCATCTCGACTACTGCCTAACTGGAGTCTTCTGACCACTGACCGAGGCCTTAGACTGTACTTCTCCTGTGCCCTCGACGGGCTTCTGCGTCCACTATTGTTGTTTGAGTCTGTACACTTAGTCACTTTACCGCTGTGTCCCGCTGGTGTAGGAATAAGAGCATCCATAACTATTACCTTACTCTCTGTCACCATTATCACCCATTATCATTATTAATTATTGCCTCACAAGGCAATAATTCCAGCACCTCAAGTCCAACCAACACACAGCCAAATAGACCATTAATACTTGCGATTTGGGGAATTATTTCATGTGTTTAACTTAGCCTTGTGAAAGTTAAGCCCAAGTGCACAATAGTTAATTGTGGACTGAAATAATAGTTGCACAATAGTTAAGTGTGCACTGAAAGTTAATGCACAATATCATTTTCTTCGGCAATTCATTCTTGGGAGTAGTAACACTAGCGCCTTGTTTTAGGGTGTTTCCTAAGCGCCCGGTCCTCACACAATGAGTATAATTTTGTTATCATTCACATACGCATGTCATGAGGTAATGAGTGACATTTCTCACCCGTGTTGCGGAGATCACAGAAACTCTTTCCTTCTCACAAGTGACTTCGAACACAGCATTGTTTGTCACTCTGACCGTCACACTCACTGCGGTCTCTGTTGTGTAACACGGCAGTTCCTGGTCACGCTGTGGCCTCTTGTGTGACACAGCAGCTCTCGTCACACTCACTGCGGCCTCTGTTATGTAACACAGCAGCTCTTAACTGGTATCTCTATCTCTAACTCTGCTCTTGTTCGATAGCTGCTCGCAAAGTCTTCAACAAACTAGATGTTCCAAAAACGGCCTGACAGGAAAAAAAGTCATATTTACTATGGGAACTTTGTAAATCAAATGAACTATTATTCAATACAAAGCAAATATGAACAGTGGGCATGATAATTGGTAGATAGACGAAGAGAAATGCGATGATCAAGGTATACCTGATTTGAACGGACTATAGGTAGTAATCCAAATTTCCACGCGGGAATGGCAGGGGGAGAAGCCGAGAGCTGTACATACTCCCCGACCGACAGCCGCAGCAACACTGACCCGCCTCCTCGCCGCCCCGCCCGTTCAAGACACCTGTACGCGTGCCCGCACTTATGACGTCATATATGTGACGTCACACTAACACATGTGCGCGCGCATCAACCAACACATCTCCAGCCGAACACTTTAGATAAACTTACTATGATTAACCCAAGCATAAAGCTGGTTAGGTAAAGCAGTGATATAAAGCTAAAGGCATAACCCCCAACAGAACAATTAAGAACTCCAGCGGCTGTCAGATCGCTGCGCCTGAACTAATATTGCTGTAAAGATTCCATGGCCCTGATGATATTTACATTAATAAACACAGTGGCGTGGCCCGCCGCCCCCCGCCTCCTTCCTGGGTACCCCATGCCCTCCACCTCATACCCAGCCTCACTATGCCCGGGATAAATTAGCACTGAACACCCTTCACCGCCACTAACGTCGTCTATAACATGGCCACAAGCTCTCCAGCACACCACAAACATTACCACAATGGAGATGTTTGGTTATCTCACCGGCCGGCCGCTGTCGGATACCTGGAACCCCAGGGAGCCTGCTGGAGTCTGCTGGAGCTTCAGGGAGCCTCAGGGAGCCTGCGGGAGTCTCAGGGAGCCTGCTGGAGCCTCAGGGAGCCTGCTGGAACCTCAGGGAGCCTTCTGGAACCACAGGGAGCGTTCTGGAAACCTTGGAACCTTCTGGAGCCCCAAGGAGCCTCCCGGAACCTCCAGAGAGTCTTCTGGAACCCCAGTAGCCTGTTGGAACCCCCAGAGAGTCTTCTGGAACCCCAGTAGCCTGCTGGAACCCCAAGGAGCCTTCTGGAACTCCAGAGGTTCCTCCTGGAACCTCTCTGAGATCACTGAAGCCTCAAGAAACCTCCCGGATCCAAGATTGTAGCAACAACGGCATTATCGTCAAAAGCGAATCCCAGCGAGGCTGGATATGACAGTTGCCTGAAGGCCCCCGGTCGGCTGGTCGGCTGGTCGGGGGGCGGGGAACGACACTCCCTAAGCTGGTGTTGTCGCTTGTCCGGTGTCGTGGGGGGCGGCTGAGCTATGTCCGGTGACGACCTGAAGCACAGCGCCGGCCGTGTCCCCTTACTTGTTGCCCCGCTTATCGTCCCGGCTATTACTCACATCGCGGCCCGCTGTCCCACCTCGCGGGCTCCGATGGGTCAGCACGGTGGTGGGGTGGGGCATATTCGGCGCGCCCTCTGTGCTACTGAAGCTTTCTGGCAGAGGCTGGGACGCCCTGGCAGGGGCTGGGAGGGCCTGGCAAGGGCTGGGACGCCCTAGCAGGGGGCTGGAACGCCCTAGCAGGGGCTGGGACTCCCTGGCTGGGGGCATAGATCCTTCTGTAAGCATGTCTGTCCATCATTTTAGTGCCACTGGTCAGTTGGGTTCGGAGACAGCCTCGAACTGGTCAAGCTAAATGGAAAACAGGTCGAGAGAGACAGGTGTCTATTGGTCTGCTGGTTCGAGTGACAGCTGGATATTGGTGTCCTGGGAGGAGTGACAGTTTCCCAGCACAGAAGAGGAGTGGCATCGCTCCTCCTCGTGAAGGAGGGTGAGGGAGTGAGGGAAGATGGAGAGGGAGTACCAGGCAGTACAAGAAGAGAGAGGGAGATAAGAGCACACCTCCTGGGACGCCGGGAGGCTGCCTGCTGGAACACCTTCTTATTAAGCTATATTTCTCCTGTGAATAGATCAGTTCTTGATATTGTAGTGGAGGGGGGTGGGGAGGGGGAGGAGGGGGGAGGGAGGGAGGTGGGGTGAGAGGGGAGAGGTGCTGGGGAGAGTGGGAGTGTTAAGAGTGAGATGAAGTAAGAGTAGGGTGTGACGCCTGCCTTGTTTTGAAAGCTCTCTCTCTTTCTCTTTCTCTTTCTCTCTCTCTCTCTCTCTCTCTCTCTCTCTCTCTCTCTCTCTCTCTCTCTCTCTCTCTCTCTCTCTCTCTCTCTCTCTCTCTCTCTCTCTCTCTAAGACTAAGGTTCATTAGGGTCTGTTAATTGAGATATCTAGTGAAACTGCAAGCAAGAGTTGTTATTCCACCTCAATTCATCTGAAGCCTGTCCCTAGATTTTTTGCATTAAGAATGATCTTTATTTCAATTTAAGTAACAATCATGTAAGGAAGAGGTTGAGTTCTCTCGTTAGTGAGTGAAACCTTCAACCAGCCGCGCGAGTTACAAGAGTGCGAGTGGCAGAGAGTGCACTGTCGCACTATTAAGACGATCTCGCGTCATGCAGGTCGGCGTTCAATCCCCGACCGTCCATTTGGTTGGGCACCATTCCTTACCCGCCGTCCCATACCCAAATCCTTATCCTGACCCCTTTCAAGAGCTATATAGTCTTAATGGCTTGGCGTTTTACCTCTGATAATTCCTTCCCTTCCCTTACCTTCCCTTCCCTTCCCTCCCCTGGGGGAAAATGGCAAGTCCGCCCCAGAGTTCAAAGTGTAGCACAAACCGGCGTTAGTGTGTGTATGTGCATCTTATCAGATTCGTTAGTGTGTGTGTGCATCTATCAAATTCGTTAGTGTGTGCATCTATCTGATGAGTTATCACGTCTATCGATAGAAAAAAAAATCTTAGTGATAGATATTTATGCCCTTTAAGACTCCGGATTGTCTCCTTTCACTTTAAGGTAAGTTTTTACATAATGCTATAAACGGGAATCACCTGAAAATACGCCTTCAATAACACGTCTAAACATATCCGGATTTAGCGTCAAGAACGCCTCTAAACAAATCCGGATTTAGCATCAACTGCGTTCCCATCTAGGCGTCATCACAGTATAGTCTATATATATATTACTTCCTTCAGTTCGTTTCAGCACAAAATCCTCTTTCCGGCACCAGGAAGGCCCGCGGACTGGCCAGCCACGCCGGTAATCCCTCATCCGTCTTGACAAATCCGAGGACTCTGCCCCAAACCGGACATATTGATGGCCGCCCTCACCCCCCAAGACGACAGGTCGCATCAACCCGTGATCGATGGCCTGTTAAAGTATTAATTACCTTGTACTCGACGGGTGGAGCACGAACCCGTCAGGATAAGGTCGCTCCTGTGTCGAGCTGTCAGCCACTGGCGTCTATAAGGAGGCGAGCGACGGCTCGGCTTAAAAGGAGAATTCCTCTACATCCTGTAAACACAGGTGATTGTTATTTGGAGGTGATGTGCAGGTATCTGTCGGCCAGTGATGGATTGTAGTGAAGACTCGCTGTCAGTTTTTTTTTTATGAGAATTGAGCTTTAAGGCGCTCGTTACCTGTATCAGACCCCTGGCAGTTGCTGCAGGGGGGAGGGGGGGGGGTAAGTATAACACCAACAGGACGGACTGTAGAACCAGTCCCAGAGAGAGAGAGAGAGAGAGAGAGAGAGAGAGAGAGAGAGACAGAGAGAGAGAGACAGAGAGAGAGAGAGAGAGAGAGACAGAGAGAGACAGAGAGAGAGAGAGAGAGACAGAGAGAGAGAGAGACAGAGAGAGAGAGAGAGAGAGAGAGAGAGAGAGAGAGAGAGAGAGAGAGAGAGAGAGAGAGAGATAGACAGAGAGATGTACATTCGTTTTATGACAGTTTTTTTGTATTAATGGTTGTAAACCAATTGCGCGAGATAGCAGGAATGATAACAGTGAATCTTAATAGATTTCTTCGATTGCTCTGCAGATAGCTTTACCTGGTGTTGCGAGCCGTCGGGAAGACAGAGAGAGAGAGAGAGAGAGAGAGAGAGAGAGAGAGAGAGAGAGAGAGAGAGAGAGAGAGAGAGAGAGAGAGAGAGAGAGAGAGAGGTGAGAAAGACGGTGATAGAGACAGGGGCGCCAAGAGACGCCAGAAGTGAGAGACAGAGGCGCCAAGAGACGCCAGAAGTGAGAGACAGGGGCGCCAAGAGACGCCAGAAGTGAGAGACAGGGGCGCCAAGAGACGCCAGAAGTGAGAGACAGGGGCGCCAAGAGACGCCAGAAGTGAGAGACAGGGGCGCCAAGAGACGCCAGAAGTAAGAGACAGGGGCGCCAAGAGACGCCAGAAGTAAGAGACAGGGGCGCCAAGAGACGCCAGAAGTAAGAGACAGGGGCGCCAAGAGACGCCAGAAGTGAGAGACAGGGGCGCCAAGAGACGCCAGAAGTGAGAGACAGGGGCGCCAAGAGACGCCAGAAGTGAGAGACAGGGGCGCCAAGAGACGCCAGAAGTAAGAGACAGGGGCGCCAAGAGACGCCAGAAGTGAGAGACAGGGGCGCCAAGAGACGCCAGAAGTAAGAGACAGGGGCGCCAAGAGACGCCAGAAGTGAGAGACAGGGCGCCAAGAGACGCCAGAAGTGAGAGACAGGGGCGCCAAGAGACGCCAGAAGTAAGAGACAGGGGCGCCAAGAGACGCCAGAAGTAAGAGACAGGGGCGCCAAGAGACGCCAGAAGTGAGAGACAGGGGCGCCAAGAGACGCCAGAAGTAAGAGACAGGGGCGCCAAGAGACGCCAGAAGTGAGAGACAGGGGCGCCAAGAGACGCCAGAAGTAAGAGACAGGGGCGCCAAGAGACGCCAGAAGTGAGAGACAGGGGCGCCAAGAGACGCCAGAAGTAAGAGACAGGGGCGCCAAGAGACGCCAGAAGTGAGAGACAGGGGCGCCAAGAGACGCCAGAAGTAAGAGACAGGGGCGCCAAGAGACGCCAGAAGTGAGAGACAGGGGCGCCAAGAGACGCCAGAAGTAAGAGACAGGGGCGCCAAGAGACGCCAGAAGTGAGAGACAGGGGCGCCAAGAGACGCCAGAAGTAAGAGACAGGGGCGCCAAGAGACGCCAGAAGTAAGAGACAGGGGCGCCAAGAGACGCCAGAAGTGAGAGACAGGGCGCCAAGAGACGCCAGAAGTAAGAGACAGGGGCGCCAAGAGACGCCAGAAGTGAGAGACAGGGGCGCCAAGAGACGCCAGAAGTAAGAGACAGGGGCGCCAAGAGACGCCAGAAGTGAGAGACAGGGGCGCCAAGAGACGCCAGAAGTGAGAGACAGGGGCGCCAAGAGACGCCAGAAGTGAGAGACAGGGGCGCCAAGAGACGCCAGAAGTT